AAAAATTAAAAAAAAAAAAAATAAAGAAAAACGAAAAAAATTAAAAGGGAAGAAAAAAAATAATAATAAAAAGAGGGGAAAGAAAAAAAAAAAATCAAACCAACCAACCCCCCTCCTCTGAGCCCCCCCCCCAGCGCCCGCCCTCCCGCACCGCTGCCAGCTCCCCCCGGCCCTCGGCTTCGCCGCGAGAGAAAACAGCCCGAAACAGCCGGAATTGCCGCCAAAAATCCCCCCGGCGGCCCCTGACGCCGCTGCCAAGACCCTCCCGTGTGTGGGGAGGGGGGAGGAGGGCAGCCGAGGGGGGTGGGAGTGAGTGAGGGGTGTCCTGGACCCCCGAGCTGGGAGTGAGGGGGGTCCCGGGATGGACCCCGCAGGCCGGGGGGGGAACCTTGGCATCCAGGTGGCCTCGGAGAGAACGCGCCGGATGCTTCTGGCAAGGGACCAGGCAGCCGAGAAGGGGAGAGCCGGCGGTTTTGGGGGGCACCCCGGTATGGGAGGGGGTGTCTGGCATTGGAGGGGGGGGGGATGGTGGCGCTCGGAAAGGGGGGGGGGGTTATTTCGGGGAGGGGGGGGCGCTGAGGCAGAGGAAGCGCCCGCCCGGCCCTGCCCGCAGCCACGTGGAGCATCCAGGAGGCTCGAGGGGAACCCGGGCATCCGCAAACCGCCCCCCTTCCCCTTCCCCGGGCTCCGAGCCGGGACCCCCGACATCCGGGGGGGGTGGTGGGGGGGTCCCGGGCGGTGCCGGTGGATGAGGTTTGGCACCACCGGACCGCCGAGTCCGGGCGTTTCCCCCCGCACCCCCCGCACCCCCCTCCCCACACCGTGGCCCGGTGCCAGCCCGGGCCGGGGGGGCCCCGCGGTGCTGCGGCGTCCAAGAAAGCTTTTTGTGGCCCATCAATAATTCAGGGCCCCCCCCCGGCCCGGCCGAGGGCTCCTCCATTATTGATGCCGCCAGAGACCGGGGGGACACGGGGAGGGGGTGGGGGGACACGGGGAGGGGGCTTAGCCCGGTACGGTGATGCCGCAGCAAAGCCACGGGCGCCCGGGGGTCGCGGGGTGTCCCCCTCCCCTGTCCCCGGTGTGTCCCCCCCGCCCCCGTGTCTCCCCCGATTGCATCAGCCGCGGGGCGGGGGGCACCGGGGGGCACCGGGGGGCACCGGGGGTACCTGTGTGTGCACACAGGTGTCACACCTGCGCTGTCACAGCCGCGCCGGGACACGGGGACAGGGCTGGGGACACCCCCAGGTGTCACCGCAGGTGTCACGGGTCACGCCCGGGGTGGTGGCGGAGACCCGGGAGCCTCGGGGGTGGGCAGGGGGTGGCTCTGTGCCAGGGGAGGGGACACGGGGGGGACACGGGAAGGATGCGCAGGGACACAGAGGGGACACAGAGGGGACGCGGGGGATCCCGGCCCACCGACAGCCACAGCCCGAGGTGTCCCCACGGAGACCAGACCCGCTGCCGGGGACACCGGGGGACACCGGGGGACACCGGGGGACAGACACCGAGTCCAACCCGCGACAACAGCCGCTCTGCCGCGCTCCCGCCGCATCCCGGAGCCCGAAATCCACCGGTGGCACCGACCCAAAAACCGACCCGGGAACGGCTGCGGAGCGAAAAGGGGAGCGCGGTGCCCGCGTGTGCCCCCGGGGGGGGTTCGGGGGGGGGTTCGGGGGGGGCTGGGGGCGCGGGCACGGGGGGGGGCGGGCAGGGGGGAG